TCAGCTGGGAGAGCTGGCCGGGAGGTCACTCAGATAGTAAAGGAAGCCCATGGCCACACCCACCCCACAGCAGCCATGCTAGAAACCCCATGGTCTCTGCAGGCAGTGGGGCCCCCCTGCTCTCCCTGCCCCCCCCCCCAGCTCAGGCTCCAGTTTCAAGAGGGAGCGGCAAGAGTGGGGGGGATAGGGTTACGGGGCCTCTTGTCCACACCCCACCCAGCTGTCGCCACTGCCGGGCAACAGCCGCAGGCAAATGTCAAGGAGCAAATTGGGGAGGCGGGAGGGGGGGCATGCGGGGTGGGTGCGTGGGGAGGGTCCTGACAGCTATGCCCAGGACTGCGGTCCCCTCTCAGGACGACAAGGGGCGTCCCTTGTCTTCTCGCAGACTAAGAGGGGAACGAAACCCACCCAGATGCAGAGTGGACACTGGCCGGCGTGGTGACGGCAGCCCCCCAGGACAGGCCTTAAAGAGGGGTGCGAGATGCAGTCCTGGGGCTGGGAGCCCGGGCTGGGCCAGATGAGAGGGGAAGGTCCTCCAGGCGGGTGAAGTGGGGGTCCCAGGAGACCCAGCCCTCACTGGGGGAGTGTGGGGGCTGGGGGGTGGAGTTGCCAGCCCAGGGCTCTGGGCCCACCTGCACCCACCCGCACCTCTTTCCCGCCTCTCGGAGGAGTGTTTGCCTCAGCCAATCAGCGCCGGGGGGCGGGGCATCGGCGCGGGGCTGCTCGGGGATTGGTGGAGCGCGCCGCCCCTCCCCGCCGCCCCCAGCAGCCCTCGAAGCCCTTGCAGTTGCGGGGGTGGCTCAGCTCCCATGTTTTGGCTGAGGACACCCTGAAAGCTTAAAATAAAACCTGCTGCAGGGTGTGGAGGAGGCCCGAGCCGCGCGCTCTCCCTCCCTCCCTCCGCTCTGCTCCCTGGAATAGGGACCCCGGGTTAGGGACTCGGGGATCCCCGCACCCGCCGCCAGCTGCCCATCGCGCTTACAAAGGAGATGCAGGCGGCCAGGAGAAGGATGCGCACCAGCAGGTCCTCGAACTGCTCCACCACCAGCTCCCACAGGGACTTGCCTGCGGGGAGAGGCAGCCGGGTGGAGGTCCAGAAGGGGTTCCCCGGCCGCGCGCCCCCAGTTCCCGCCCGGGACAGGGATGCCATGGGCTGAGGTTCCAGCCCCCGGAGTCCAGGCACAGGCTCCTCTGGGGCTGCAGGCGGGTGTCTCAGGGCGACCCTGGGGGCTCCTGGCCCGGCCCCCCAACTCTTGGGAGCGTGTAGGGCGGAGGCAGGGACTCGGGAACTCACCTTCCTCCGCGGGCAGCTCTGCGCAGGGAAAGAGAAGGGAAGAACACGTTTATTTGGGGTCTCTCCAGCCTCCCCACCCCTCGACTCTGCAGCGAAGGCCTGAAAGGGCATGTGAGGGTCACCAAGGTCACCCCGGAAACAACCCCCATCACTGGGTCTCAGGGGCCCTGGTCTCTCCGGAGCCTCCTCGCCACAGTCCTGGGGTGCCGGTCCTGCTCCGGGGGCCCCCTGCGCCTTTGTGCGGGACCTATGGGGGCCAAGAGGCCCCTGAGCCTCTCCCCTCAGACACTCACCATTGGGGCCGTATTTCTCCAGATGCCGCTTGACTTGGTCCGGGGTGAGACCTGTGGTCTCGCTCACCCCAAAATAGGCCAGGCATTCCTCTGTGGACTTGGAGTGTGCCGCCTCCATCGCGCCTCCTTCCTGGGGGCCCGGTGGGGGTGTGTGTCTTCTGGGGGCTCTCGCTCGTGGGGGGCCTTCCTCAGTGTACCCACCTGCCTGTTTGGGCGCCTCTGGTGTCCTCTCCTACCCCCTAAGGTTTTCCTTCCTGCCACGGAACTCTGACCCCGTCCCCTTCCCCGCAGCAGCCGCCACCCCCGCGGCCCCCAGCTGGTCCTTAAGAGGCAGACGTGGGGGCAGGCTCCCCCTCCCCGGGGTCGGGGATTGGCTGGCCCAGACTCCAGCAGGAGGGGTCAGGACAGATATTTCTGCTGACAGAGGGGAACAGTGGGACAGCAGCCTGAGATGTCACTCATGAGGGGAGCTAAGGTGGCCCCGGCACAGCCCTGGGGGGGGGGCAGGGAGAACCTCCACTTTCGGCCTTCTGCCGACTCTGCGCCCGTGCCTCGACTTCCCCGCTCAGTCCCTTGCCCCGGCCACACTGTCTAGTCTCGCCTCCTCTTTCCATCCCGTGACTCTTCTTCCCTGACTTGCTGAAAAGGCCTCAGGGCTACCCCAGTCTTCAGGGGAGTGAAGAGGGGAAGAAGCATCCTTTGGGGGGCAGAGAAAGGGACTCTAGAGGACCCCCCCGGAAAGCAGGAGGGAGAGGGCCAAAGGGACAGGGTTGAGCTGGTAACCCTAGCCTGGGAGGGGCTGCCACTGCCCACAACAAGGGCTTTAGTGTCCAGGCTCTGGCCATGAGCGCCAGCCCTGCCCGTCCCCGCCCCCCACTCGACTCAACCTTAGGGCATGGCGCCTTCAGCACCCCGTCCCTAGCAGGGAACCCCCCAGGTGGACTAGCCAGGCAGTCAGGTAACCAGAGGCTGCAGAGCGTGCTGATGGCACAGAGGGAAGAACACGTGTTTCTGGATGGGGCAGGGGCCACCCCGAGTGCCTTCATCCCACACTGCGCTCTGACCCAAGGGGCTTCATGGCAGGGCAGCTGGCAGCTGGCGTGGAGGCCGTGGAGTTAAGGAGGGGAGTGGGGTGTCAGATCGGACCAGTCCCGGACCTCAGGACTGGGAGGGGTCGGGAGGAGGGATGTGACAGTCTGGGGAAAACTAGGGCAATGGGGATGTGGGGTCATCTGAGGAGCCATAGGTGGGGAGCAGGGGGCTGGCCCCACAAGCAGGCCGGTGGCCCGCGGCGAGAAAGTCGCTGCAAGTTGCTGGCCTCGCTGTGAGCTTCCTCAGAGGCAGCTGCTCCTGGACCCCAGGGAGGGGTCCTTTTGCTTCCAGTGATGAGGGCAGCTAATGGTGGGGGTGGGTGGCATGGGGACCGGCCAGGGAGGCCTGGAGGCTGGAGAGGCGGGGTGCAGGGAGCCTGGTGGGAAGGTCAGGGCGCGAAGCCTCTGGACCGGGGAGCTGCCTCCATCTCTCCAGTCTCCTCAAGGGCCAGCAGGCCTGGGTGCTCAGCTCCTGAGAGATGGGGGATGGGGCGGGGGACCCCTCACTGGGGTGCCTGCACCTAGGGTGATCTGAGGACAGAGCTCGCGGCCTCTCCTGTAGCGGGATCCCACTGTGAAGGGGAGGAGGTGCTTGAACAATGGGCGTGTCCCTCTGTGGACCCCACTGCAAAGCCTCGTCTCACCCCTCCAACTTCCCAGAGGGAAACTGAGGCCAGGCAGCCAAAGGTCATCCACGAGGGGCTGTGCAAGGAGCCCTGGGCGTCCAGGCCCAGCCTCGGGGAGTGCTCACGAGCAAGAGAAGTGGGGATCGAGGGCCTGGCAGCCCCCAGGCCAATCGCAGGCCTTTAGTCCTGAATGGCAGCTCCTCCAGGCCCCCTGGGAAGGCTGCGGGGCCAAGGCTCCTTCAGCAAGGATGAAAGGTGTCTGGTCCCCACGGGGGCCCCTGAACGGCTCCCGGTGGGTGGCAGGGGTGAACCCTTCTGCCCATCTCCAAAAGAGGCCAAACTGAGGGTTGGCAGGGCGGGGCAGCCTTTGCAGCACCAGTTGCTCCTGGATTAGGAGTCCCAGGTCCTGCTTACTCAGGGCCCTTGGGCGCTGCTGTCCTCTCAGGGAGCACTCAGCACCCAGAGCGCCAAACCATCCCCCTTTTCAAGGCCGAGTCTATCCCTGGTGTCCTGAGGCCAAGGTCTGAGGGAGCCCCAGGGATTAGCCGAAACAGGGAAGGCAGCGGCTGCCCGTTCCCACCCCAGCCCCCAGCCGGGGTGGCCGGAGAGCCCAGCTGTCCACTGTCTGTCTCCTGCTGGGGACAGGACAGGACGCAGGCCCAGAATAGCAAGGTCACCAGTGGCGGCGGGGCCTCCTGTGGGCAGCTGTACAGGCTCCAGGGCTCCGAGGGAAAGTGAGGCAGAACTGGAGGCTGGAGGAGGCAGCGGAGGGGCTGACCAGGCCCCTCTGTGCTGGCGCCCGGCACCCCTGGCGAGGGGAGGGAGGCCCAGGGCTCCCCTCGATGGAGGACACCCAGGCAGCTGAGTTTAGAGCAGGACCCAGGCTGGGGCCAGGGGACGCAGGGAGGGGGAGGGTGGCCAAGGTAAGTGACCACAGGGCCATGCCTGTCATGTGACGGGGGCTGTTGGGAACGGGAACCCAAGCTTGGATCCTCCTGACAGAAGCGCAGTATCTGAATTTTCTTTGTGATTTTGGGACCACACCTGGTATTGCTCAGGGGATACTCCTGGCTCTGCACTGAGGAATCACTCCTGGCAGGCTCAGGGGACCATATGGGATGCCAGGGATGGAACCTGGGTCATCTGTGTGCTCGGCATACACCCTCCCCGCTGTACCGGGTCTCCGGCCCCACAGTATCTGAATTGTGTTGATTCCCAAGGAAACATCATCCAGGTCTAGCCTTGAGGCCCCGCCCAGGTGCCACTTCCCACTTTCCTGGGAGGACAGAGACCCGGTGAGGTCTCAGAGCGAGGAGAGCGGTGACAAGACACCCGGCCCGGGCTTGTTCTGTGAGGGACAGTGAACTGCCCCGGCCAGCCCAGGATCTCCCACGACCTTCTCTGGGGCAGGAAGCTGCCATGAAGAGCCCTGGGTCTCTGCAGTCCTGCCTTCAAGCCCATGACAGGAACTTGGCCGCTGACCCCCCAGCAGCGCTCTGGGCTCTGCCCTGACGCTCCCCAGCAGAGCAGCTGAGGAACCAAGGCCCCAGGGCCGGAGAGCAGCGGAGCGGGGTGAGGCCCGCTTGGTTCTGGGCTCCCAGCCCCGAGGGGGGCGCTCTGCCGACCTGCTTGGTCCTGCGCCCACGGCAAACACGGCCACAGTCACCAGATGGAACGGAGATAAACCCTTTTTATTTATTTATGCTTCTCCATTTTGTTTAAAACAACAACAACAACCACCTTGATAGGCCTGGCAGCCCCCCCACCCCGCCCCCTTGCAGGGCCGGGGTGGTTAATAAGGAAAGGCCCCCCGGGGCCGACCAGACAGCCTCGGAGGTAAATGGGCCCGGTCCCTGCCCAGGGGAGGGGGCTCCTGTAGTGTACGCACTGGGGAGTTGGCGGTTTTCGAACCTTTTCTTGTACCAATAGACAGGCCCACGGCCTTCAAGGATCAGGAAGCAGGGGCTGGGGGGGGCACGCCTGCTGTTCCTCTGTGTCCAGCCTCACACACGGAGGGCTGGGGGGGCAAGCCGAGTGGAGAAAGGGTGGGGCAGGGAGACTCACACAAAGGAGTACTGGTTATTCACGGCCCTGGGATGGCCCCCTTCTTCTCCGTCACCCCCTAGTGGTAGCTGCTGGAGCTGTACCGTCAGGGGCCCGCCGGGGTCCCCGCCAGGTCCGGCACCTCCCTGGGCCTCCAGGCTCGGTGCTATGGCCTCTTCCAATTCAACCACGGGGACCAGCTCAACCACGGGGACCAGCTCTTCCTGGACCCCTCCACTGCCCGCTTTCTCTTTCTCTTGCCTCTCTTTGGTTGCGGCGGAGGCGGCTGCCGCCACTTCTGGCGCCCGCGACGCCTCTTCTGCCCCAGGTTGTGGGGGATCTGTCCATGAAGGGGGTCTTGGGGGCTGGGGTGGGTCATGGGAGGTGCTCGATTCTGGACAGGAACGGAAGAAGACAGGCGGATGGTGGAGGGAGGCGGGGGCTCGTGCCACGGCCTCCCCTTCTCTCAGCCCGGGAGCCAGGCCCCAGCTCCCCAGGTGCTGTGGCCTGAGTGCCCCCCCATGGAAGATGGCTCATGGGCGGCGGTGAGGAGGACCACACTTACACACAGTCACTCGCTCCGAAGGGCATGAGGGTGGAGGAGGCATCGGGGTAGCATCTGTCTCCCTCGCACACCCCAGCATGGCTCCCGGCCTGCTCCCGGCCTGGGGGGGGGGGGGGTAACGTGGGGACAGATGGGACGATGGGGCGGGGACAAGGGAGAGAACAGACAGGGACATCAGACGTGGAGGGAGGAGGTGGGAGCGGACTGAGCACCCCCGGGGGGGCAGGCCCGAGGCCAGGCAGAGACGAGGCTGGAGGATGCTTCAGACAGACGATGGAACAGAGGGGCTGATGGGATGGGGATGTGCCCACCCAGCTCCACTTCCTCCCGGGCCTTCCTGCCGCCCCCCCAGCCCCCCCCCCGCCTCTCCTCACCACCCCCTGCCTTGTCTCTCTGGCACACACACCTCCTCGCTGCCGGGGTGCAGGGGCACCTCCTCCCCTGCGGGCCTGCTCTGCTCACCCTGCTGCCGCTGGCAGGACACAACATAGCTGACCAGGACCACGTCGCTGGGGCCGCCGGACTCCAGGGGGATGGGGTGCACCCGGAAGTGCTCAAGCATGTCAAAAATGGACTGGAACCACAGGTGCTGCACCCGGCACTGGCCCTCCTCGTTCAGCGACAAGCGTAGGTGCTGGGGGAGGAGGACCCGGTCAGGGACAAGCCCCGGGGACCCCCTCGAGCGGCGGCCCGGGGACGCGCCTTCCCCATGCCTCACCTTGGCCTTGCCCTGGAAGTTGAAGGTGAGGACGTACTCGCCCCGCCTCGTCTCACTCTGCCGAACCAGGAAGACCCCATGGGAGCCCGTGCCTCCGGCCAGCACCAGCTGGGCCGCCTTGAGTCGAGAGAGCATCCCGTGGAACCACGGATACCCTGAGAGGGGCTGGTCCCCCTCACCTCCCTCTGACTCCCCCTGGAACGGGAATGACCCTTCAGGAAGGAGAGGGAGGGAAACCGGGGTTAGGGAAGCCGAGTCCGGCCAGCTGCAGGGAGGGGCTCCGGGGCGGCGCCCGCGCCCCCCTCCCCCGGCCCCCGGTACCTGTGGCTGTCTCTGGGGTGTCCAGGGGCGGGTAGGGGGCTGAGAGGGGATGCACTGTGCCAGCGGGGGGTCCCTCCTCAATAGGGATGCGGGGGGGCAGTTCCGGGGGCAGCATTTCCATTGAGTCAAAATGGGAGGCAGCAATGGAGGCAGAACTGGGGGAGATGGACGTGGAGGGCCGGTCGGAGAGGCCCCCGTATGCCCCTGGAGGAAAGCAGGAGAGGCAGAGTTGGGAGGGAAGAAGCCGCCTGGGGCGACCCCGCTGCCTCCCTGCCGGGGTTCAGACTCGCACGCGGGTCTGGACGCACCTTTTCCCGGTATGGATCTAAATCACGAGACTGCCACAGAAGGGAGAGACGCCCCGAGGTCCCCTCACAGTCAGGGGGGAATCTGTCTCTGGCCACAGGACCAGGACCAAGTGCCCGCTCTTGAACCAGGGATCTCCTCCTTCTCATTCCTGCACCCTTACCCACTCTCCTCGCAGCACCCTGCACTCATGGGCGAGCCCTTACCCTGTGCCCTTGGCCCGTCTCCCCTGCTCCCTGGGGCTGGGCCCGGCCTGGCGCGCCACCCCTCCTCTCCCCCCGCTCACAGGCCAGAGCTGTTGGGGCTCACGTGCTGTGCGTGTGGCGGGGGGTCACTGTTGGCAGTCCCTGGGGGGCAACATGTGAACCTCCCACCCCAGGGCCAGCGGCATCCGAGACTAGGCCCGGGCCAGCTAACTGTGGGCAGGGCCGACAGTCAGGGGGCGGGAGCAGAGGCCCGTTTGGCACCTCCCAGCCTGCCTTAGACGGCCGAGAAGCCGGGGCCTTGCAAGGCTCCATCTAGCCCAGAGAACCCGCCATCCCTTTGTTGTGGGAGGCAGCCTGCACCCCGGGGAAGGCAAGGACTCCAGGGCAAGGGCAGAGCAAGCCTGAAGGTGGGGACGGAGCCAAGGAGACTCGCCATAAGGTGCCACTGACATATGACAACTTCAGAATCAGAGCAAAACAGAACCCGCCAGGTGCTCTGGAGGCTGGGGGACAACAGCTTCCTCTCCAGCGAGAAGGGTGGCCATCACCAGACTTCCAGGAAGATGGACAAGGACGGGACCAACTGGGCACAGAGGCTGGATGGAGGTGGCTTAAGAGTGGCAACAGCCAACAGAAAAAAATAATATATCTAGTGACTGGTGTCATTAAAAGGAGCACAGAGCGGGAGCACAGTGGGGTAGGCACTTGCCTTGCACGTGGCTGACTGGGTTTCGGTCCCCGCAACCCCATATGGTGCCCTGAGCCCCGCCAGAAGGGATCCCTGAGCACAGCTGGGTGTAGCCCAAAGCCCCTCAAAGACAAAGAGTGGTGAGCGAGGCAGTGCCGAGGGTCCAACACGGCTGGCAGTGGCTGGGCACATTCAGGGGTGAAGGGGCTGGGGGCGGTTAAGGAGGGGCGGGCTGCAGGGGAGCCCGCGGAGGGGCCCGAGGGCTGCCGGCAGGACCCCTTACCCTGAGACAGGCGGTCACTGCTCTCGCTGGGGCCCAGCAGCAGGTCCTGACTGGGCAGACTCTCGGAGTGGTTCATGCACGGCAGCTCCAGGCTGTCCGGATTGTCCCTCGGCAGGAACGAGGGCCCTGGGGCCAGCGGGAGCGTCATAGGGCGGGGACTGGGAGCAGGACAGGGTCTGCAGAGACAGGGGACTCGGTGCCAGGGGAAGCCGCACGGCGCTGCCCCTGCTGCCACCTCTGGGGCCGCGCAGGCTCTCACCCCGGGCTCAGGCACTCCTGGATGTCGGCCACCCAGGCCTTCGCGTGCAGCGCGCCCGCCGTCTCCAGGATGTACTCCGAGGGGCCTTCCACCTGCGGGCACGAGAGGAGGCCCACAGGCCACTTCCAAGTCCCGAGGCCTTTCTCAGCCCCTGGAGAACAGCAGCCTCCCCTTCCTTCCAGAGGAGCGGGGCCTCAGGGCGGGTCGCTCTCAGGGGCGGCCAGCAGGGGGCGGGAGGGGTCGGGGGCCCGCGCCTACCTTCACCACGAAGGTGTTCTCGTGGTCGGGCATCTCCAGGGCGGTGGTGGCGCGCACATCCGTGATGGCCGAGCAGGGGATGCTGAGGCGGGGCCGAGATGCCTGGGAGTGGGGGAGTCCGGGGCAGGAAGGGACATAAAACGCCCACTCGGGCTGGGCAGAGACCGCCCCTTGCTCCCGCTCCCCCACTGCACCGAGGGGGCATTAAAGCCCGTTGCTCCAACACCTTTCCTGCAGCTGACCCAGAGCCAGGGGTTGGCCTGGAAACCAGCGCTGGGGCGCGGAGCTTGCTCAAAGGCCTGGGGCCCCCGTTTGCTGCTCTGCAGTGCATGATCCCAAGCACTGCCAAGAGGAACCTCTGAGCACTGTGCCAAGAGTCGGCCCCGAGCAGCACCTGGTGTGGCCCAGAACCCAAACAGAAGAGAAACCGGGCCGGGAAGAAGGTGGATCACGGGGGTCAGGCACACGCTTTGCATGCATGAGTCCCAGATTCAGACCCTCCCCCACCCCCACAACCAAACCAAAACCAGGTCAGGGAAGCAGCGCCCGTGGGCCGGCGAGCCTCCCGTGGCCTCCCAGGTCCCCCGCCAGCCTCACCTTTGGTGGAACAAAGAACTCCAGCCGACTTCCTCCGCCGCCTCCTTCGCTCCGGAGCAGTAAGCGACACTTCTGCCACTGCGGCTGCCCGCCGCCCCCTGAGGTGGGCCCAGCTGCCCCTCCGCCCCGACCCACGCCGGCTGGGTCGGGGGCTGCCTCTTCAGCCCCCATGAAACTCAGCAGCTCTTCCCGCTGCACCACCCCCGCGGCATCCTTCAAGGCCCCCCCGCCCCGACTCAGTCTCAGCCTCTCGAAACGGTGAGTCCATCGGTCCCCCGGGGCCACGCCGTCACTGACCAGTCCCCTGCCAATGGTCCCGGTTCCCCCGGAAGAGTTGGAGTTGCTGTTGCCCCCTAAGACTGGGGGGCCTGACGAGGTCTCCAGGGGCCCAGCTGGGGAGGGGGGGTCACCGGCGCCCCGCCACTGCAGGATGCCACGGACAGAGCCACGGACGGAGCGGCCCACCGAGCGCAGGGAGAAGCGCTTCTTTAGCTTCGGCTTCGAGGTCGCAGAAGAGGAAGAGACCAGGGAAGGGAGGGGGCCGGCCAGGTCCTCGGAGGATCGAGAAGGGCCCAGCACAGCCAGGGGCACGGCCGCCCGGCAGCCCTCCAGGGAGAGCTCGGGCGGTGGGCTCTCAGCCCCGGGGCTCAGGGCGAGAGGCGAGAGTGAGCCGGAGGCCCGGGCCACCTCGGCCTCAAAGTGCTGCAGGAAGAGCTCAGCGAAACGGCGGGAGAAGGCGGCCTCGGCCCCCGGCCCTGCATACTGGGGGTGCGAGGCCAGGTAGAGGCGAAAACGGCGGGCAAAGTCCAGGGCTGCGGCCCGGGCATGAGACTCGCAGAATTCCCGCCAACTCGGGGGAGGCGGAGGTGGCAGCGGGGGAGGGGAGGGGGAGGCCCCGTCCTCTGGGGAAGGGGCACCATTCATGGTGGTCCCCAGGGGGAGGAGCAGGGGAGCCTGTGGGGAGGGGCAGCAAAGAGGGAAGCAGTCAGGAGACACGGGGAGAGCGGCAGCAGCTGCAGAGGAAGAGAGGCACATACACCCCATCACTGCTGAGCTGGGGCCGGGGGCTAGGACCCCCGGGCCCCCACCCCACCTCCCCCCACCCCAGCCTGCGGTCCAGCCTGCCCCGGTCCCCCTGTGCAGCCCTCGCTCTAAGAAGTCTTCTGGGGCAGGGAGAGGGGCCGGAGCGCCTGCCGGGCACACGCCATCTGTGAGGTCCCCACCATCCACCATCCCTGTCGCCTCCAGCCCCAGGCAGCACTGCTAGTCTGCACAGCCGGGCAGAGAAGGGTCACGCGTGGTTCCTGTGGCCCCAGAGAGCGGCCGCGGGCCGGGCAGAAAATGAAACTCCAAAGGCCCCTTTTGCTATCCTCCCTTCAGGAGCGCCAGGACTGGCCTTACCTTTCTCCCGAGGAGCTAGGACCTCAGCAACGGGTGAGCCCGAGGCTCGCCACGTTTCACCTCGCCAAGCCCGATCGCCCACGGCACGATCCGTGGCCCCGGGGTTTCGCTCTGCCCCGGCTCAGAGGGCTCCAGAGGCTCAAGCACCCTACGTTCCCACGCCGGGTGGTGGGGGGCCGGGAACTTGGCTTTGAACCTGATCCTGCGCCCGCAGGCGGGAGCCCAGAAGCAGCAGGACCCGGGACCGTCTTCAGTCATCAGACACCACTACTGGGGAGCTGGGGTGCCAGCCTCGCCCCCGCCCTCCAGCCTAGCGGGGACAGTGCCCTAGAGGCGACTGTCAGCCCACCTGGTTCTGGCGCAGCACACTCAACAGTGCTCGCCTGCTTATCAGCGGTGTGATCTGGGACGGCTTCTGCTTTCGCCCTGAGCTTGCTTGTTTTCAAATCTCTCCAACGGAGCTAATGGTCCCTGACCTCTCCAACCGCTGAGAGGATGAGCGGGGCCATGTCAACAGTTGACAACAGTTGGCAGCAGGGCGGATGCGGGCCACGGCTGCCGTCCTGGGCGACTTGGGCTCTTTTCTAGAAGACGGAGGGAGCCGGGAAGCGCCTTCCCGGGCCTTCCCGCGGGAAGCCTCGCGCCGGCCTCTGCTAAGCGCCCTGCTCCGGGTGCACCCCTGGGGGTCTGCTCGGCACGCAGAGCGGCGCCCCCGGCCCTCCGTGGCCCTGCCCGGACCCTCAGCGAGGCGCCAAACCGAGGGGCCGCGCCGAAGCGACAGGAAAACGCTGGGAAACGCAGGAGTCATGGAGCATCGGGGAACCGAGCCAGGAGGTGCAGCCTGCGCGGAGCCGCAGCTCCGGGCCGAGGCACCTCGCTCGCCCCGGCCCACCGCCCCCGTGGGGCCTGCCGCGCCCTCGCTTCCTGAGCTGGTGACTCAGTTTCTCTGCTGCCCCGCAGGACCTGGACACCGTCCCCCGGGTGCCCCTGCGTCTCGGCTCAGTTCTGCAAGTTCCCGGAGGGCGGGTAGCGGTGCAGGCTCGGCCCCCCGCCCCGGGCCCGGTGGGCGACCCTCTCAACCCCGACCCTACTCCCCCGACCCCCTCTCCCCGCCCATCCCCTGGGGCCAGCAGCCTCCGCGGGACCAGTCCGGTGGCGGCACCCTCCGGGCCCAGCGCCCCTCCTGCCTCCGGACCCCCACGCCCGCTCCCACCCGGGGCTCCTTGCAGGCACCGGGACCGGGTCGCCGAGAGGGAAGAGGGACTTGGAGAGGGGGGTTCCGGTTCCGGTCCCACCTGCATCTCGGTCCCCGCGGTTAGCTCCGGCGGCGGCGGCGGCAGCTCCCGCTCCCTGCCCGCCCCCCCCCGCAGCCAGGTCCAGGTCGCTTCTGCGCAGGCGCCGGGACCCCTCTTCCGGCCACCGGAGGAAGCGACCATCGAGAAGAGCGGCGAGAGCGAAGGGCACCTTCACCCACTTCCGCCACCCTCCCGCTCTGCGCAGACCCCGGGAGGCCGGGAGGCCGAGTGCCGAGGGCGTGGCGACTTCCCCAGGGGCCGCTACACGGACTAGATCCCTTGAGAGAATGTCCCCCACCCCCCAGCCGCCGAGGAAAGAGAGCGCAAAGGAGCGAAATCACCCACAGCGAAGCCACCCTAGGGGATAGAGTCCCAGCGCCGTGGACGGCTAGAGTCGCCGCGGCCTCTGCAGACCAGCGAGTCGAAGGCCTTTTAAAGGGCCCGCTGCGGCATAGAGTGTCCGCTCCGGCTGTTCGCGGACACCGCCCACAAGGAGCTGCGCTGGGGGAGGCGCGGGTGACCTTGGCGAGGCCCTGCGAGAGGCGGAGACTGAACTTACACCCTTGTCTTACACCCCTGGAGGTCCCGTCTTCTGGATGGAATAGAGAAAGATGGGGGTGGGAGTGGGCAGGAATAACGGTCCATTTTGGAGGAGGTGCCTGGGGGATATCTGGGGGCCGTGGACATACAGCCTGGCCGTCAGGGCCGGGCACAGGAATCGAGGTTTGCTGAAATGACGAGTGATTTCGCTTCAGCGGACTTGAGCAATAAGGGAATCAGTTGGCTCAAGCGATCGGAAAGTCCGGAATGAGGAAGCAGCATCAGAAGCAACGAGATACCGAGTGATACCGGACCCTTGTGGTTCGGGGCTGGGCCCGCCTTTCCCTCCCTCGCACTTGGCTGTCCCCAGGGGCAAACAGCTTCCCGCAGCGCCACGTCCAACTTTAGTGGGAGGAGCATGTGCCCGTAGCAAGCCTCCTTGACTTGAGGCGGTTCACTCGGACTGAGCCCTCATCCTGTAGAACACGGGGACAGGACGTTCCCCAAACTGCTCTGACTCAGGATCAAGGTAGGAGCTGCCCAAGGAAGCCGGACAAACGCGCTGTGGAAAGCAAGTGCGCTCACCCCTGCTCTCAGCCAACCGGCTCCAAGACATCCTGTTCTCCAGTGCCATCTGTTGTCCCCGTCCAGAGTAGCTCAGTGCAACAGATCCCCATTTCGGTGGACACCATCCTCCCCCTCAGTACCCAAGACCCTTCGTCTAGGAGACATGCGACCAATGAAGACAGGGGAAGGGCTGGTGACAAGTTAGCTTTGGAAATGTCTACACTGTCCAGCCACAGTCCAGTCACTGTCTCTGAACTGTCCTATTTTTGCAATCAACCACTGCACCTTCCTATGTTGGGCCTGTCCAAGGTGATGGCTCCTAGTCAGTGGGGCTAATGGCACTTGAAATGTGGCTGTGACAAAGCCAGAGCCATATGGATCTTTTGCTTTTTGGCGATACCCAGCAGTGCTCAGGACTTACTCCTGGCTGCGTTCAGGGATCACTCCTGGCGGTGCTCAAAGGACCATATGGGATGCCGGGAGTCAAACCCCAGTCAGCTGTGTGCAAGGCAGCCTCTTACCTGTTGTACGACTTCTCTGGACCCCAAAGGTAGTGGATCATTAAAACTCTTGTTTCTTTTAGAGGCAAACACAGGTGTTCAAAGCTGCACCTCATGGTGTTCAGGGGAGCAAGTGGTGCAGGGGATCGAACCCAACTCTGGCATGCAAAACGTGCACTCTAGCCTTTTGAATTATTTCCCTAGCCTTGAGGTTTTAGTTTTAATTAAAAGTGGGACGGGGGGGGGGTGGAGTGATGGTATAGTGAGTGGACAGGGTATTTGGTCAACACATGGCCGACCTGGGTTGGATCCCCAGCACCCCATATGGTCCCCCAAGCACTGCCAGGAGTAATTCCTGAGTGTAGGGCCAGAAGTAACCCCTGAGCACTGCCAGGAGTGAGTCCCCCCCCCAAAAAAAAGTGTGTCTGAGGATGTAACTCAGTGGTTAAAAAAAAAACACCTTATATGTTTGTGGACCCAGAAATTTTATATACACGAAAAATAATAAAATCTGGACTAGTAAGCTGAGTACATACTTTGCATGCAGAAAGTCCAGGTTCAATCCCCAGCATCTCATAGTTCCCTGGATACTGTTGATGTGGCCCAAAATACACACACACACACACACACAACCAATTAATAAAAATAGCTACACATAGCCAGTGACTGTACTATTGGCCAGTCTGGGAGGACTTTAAGCTAAACAAAGCAGTCTGATGGCAATCCCCAGCATCTCATAGTCCCCTGGATACTGTTGATGTGGCCCAAAATACACACACATACACACACACACACACACACACACAATCAATTAATTAAAATAGCTACACATAGCCAGTGACTGTACTATTGGCCAGTCCGAAAGGACTTTAAGCTAAACAAAGCAGTCTGATGGCACTCCAACACGAGTAGTGGTTGAAATGGGAACATGAGGACGATACTGTCCAGGTAATCAAGACAAGGAAGGAAAAGCAATATTTAGCATTAGGCAAAGAAAGGGGAATAGAAAGTGCTGAGATGATGTCGGGTTAAGTTCCCAAAAGCAAACTCTGAGAGGATTCGAGGCAAGCAAACTTCCTAAGACACGCTACCAAGAGAAACCAGCAAGGGAGTGGGCAGGAAAGGAAGCCTGAGCATGACCGCAGGCCAGAGCTGAGTCAGCTTCGCCGCTCAGGGGTGCTCCAGAGGCAGGTTCCTAGCTCAGGTTTATTCATAAACAAGGGATCTGGGCTCTCCTTTTTTTTTCCTTTCATTTAAAAAAAATTTTTATTTAAAACACCATGATTTACAAAGTTGTTCATTATACAGTTGTTACGGGCATTTAGTGTTCCAACACCACCAGTGTGACCATCCCTCCACCAATATCCCCAATTCCCTTCCCATCCCCAACCTGCCCCCTTAGGCACATAACAAATTTACTTTATATTATTTGTTCCAAGAAAAATTTAAGAAATGGCAAAAGAAATCATCATAAATCAGTAAGAGCCCAATTTTGATTGCTGTATGATTTCAACCTATGTAAACAAGAAAAATAAAATTCTTTAATACAATATAATAAAGTGCTTCTTATTTACATAAGTTTTCAACTCTGGAATCGAAGATATATTGCATTAAACTTTATTTTATATTTGGACTTCATTATGGTAATAATCATGCCTTCTGTATCATTAATAGAAATGTTAAAGAAATTCTTTGCTAATATATTTTGGAATTTCCATGAAATAGGTAAGGCATACTTATGTAAATTTTCTCCCTACATTTTATACAAACTGTGATTTGCAAACTTGTTCATGATGATGTGTTACAGGCATTCAACATTCCAACACCAATCCCACCACCATTGTCATCTTCTCTCACCATATCTCCAATTTTCCCAACCACCCCTCAAGCCTGCCTGCCTCCACGACAGGTCCACGATAATTTCATAGTGCTTGTTATCAATAAATCGCTAACAGAATGATCAAAACATATTTTCTTAGGAGAAAATTAGTGTAAATTGTATCTCACCATGGAGACATTAAGTCTGTGTCTAAGAGATTACTTATTGTTGATACAGGTTTAGCCTGTTTGGCTAAATACTGTTTGGCTAGTGGAGATTGGAAGCCTTCTATGTCACATCCCATCCAATTCTATGTGCTACTACTGGATTATCAGTGTTACAGAGTTTGGAGATATCGTGCAGCTGGGTGTTTCAGGAAGTCCAGAATTTTTAACAGGGTGTTACAGTGGGAGTTAAATTTTTAACTGGGTGGCATCTTTAGGGTGTGGCTGTGACTG